CTGAACTAAACCTAAGAACAAAAAAAAACATAATACAGAAAAAACACAGAAACACATGAAACTCAAACTGTTGAGTCAAAACGACCCAGAACCATGAAACCACTAGAAATCTGTATCTAATGATTTGGCCAGTGAGTGTGTATCTGTCTGCATTCAGCGACAGCCACTTATTTGTGCAGCTCACTCATACTATTACAACTGTATATGTTAAAGTGTCAAAGATTTATATTAAGAGTCAAACATTTTCTCTGCCTGCAGGGTTATCAGGGCGAGGCTGGGTCGCAGGGACCCAGAGCACAGAAAGGAGACAAGGTCAGCTGAGTCGTCTGTAGAAGTGCTGTTGTTTTGCAGGAGGGCTGCACGGGATTCTGATCTGTGTCTTTGTGCCTGCAGGGAAATAAAGGAGTCAGAGGCCACGCTGGGCTTCCTGGCTACATAGTAAGCTCAGATGACCAGCTCCATTCAAAAAGTTGCTTTTTATTAATCAATATTTGTAAAACAGATGACTTAAATTAATTATTGCTCTCAAATTATGTACATTTTAAAGCTACATCTGAAAAGTCCAATGTTTACAGGGCACGTCTGGAGCAAGAGGTCCTCCCGGTTTCCCAGGACCATCAGGGCCTTCGGTCAGTGTCACACAAAATGATCCGTGTTGGTATTCTACTGTTTCTACTTTGCATTCATTGTTGCTTGTCATTGTTTTCAGGGACAAACTGGGGACTTAGGCTTCTGTGGTCCGAGAGGCCCTCCGGTAAGTTATATCCTCCTACAAAACCATCACATTGAAAATAATTTTTAATTAAACGTGAGATACTATTAATGAGCATCTATTAATCTGCCTTCTATTCAGGGCAAAATGGGTCCCGGAGGAGGAAAAGGTGTCCGAGGAATTACAGGACCAACAGTAAGTAAAGTAAACAAATTCAAAGTGGTGTTTATTTTTTTTTAAAGACATTTATAGAGCAATTATTTAAACTGTCAGGGTCATCAGGGTGAAATGGGCCCCAGAGGAGCAGCTGGGTCACAGGTGAGAAAACACTTATATTTGCTCCCTTTCTAGCAGACTTTGTGACTTACCTCAGTAAATATACATACGTGCTTTAGGGAGAGCCCGGTCCGGATGGAGCAGTCGGGTTTCCTGGTGTTCGTGGCCCTCAGGTATTATAAAGCTTTTGTATAGCATGAAAAGATCACGTGTGAAACAACCAACACGTTATTCAGCGTTTGGTAAATGAAAGTTTTTGGTGTGGTCACGTGTAGTTTGTGAACAAAGGTGAAAATAAGATAATATTGATTAAAACGACAGTAGGAAGAACCTAATGTAACTTAAGTAAATCTTTTTAGGAGTAAAAAACAAAAAGTTCTTTATCACATGTTGAAAAATTAATTGTGAGTAAAACACTTTGATCAATGACCTCACAGGGAAGCCCCGGCCCTAATGGTCCCCCAGGTCCTAAAGGTAGCACTGTGAGTATACTTGAAGACATAAAATGTCAAACTGGTTTGTGAACCGTACGCAGTCACCAGTCGGGTCAGTGCGTTTGAATTTTCTGCTTTTTACATTTCACCAGGGTGATCCAGGAGATGAAGGGGAAATAGGTCAACCTGGACCACCTGGACTAAACGTAAGATAATTAGGCTAAAGAGTAAGCGTGCTGTGCAGCGTTTGTTTATGCTGCAGTGAGTTTACCTGAGCAATGTCCCCTTATTTTAGGGAGCCAGTGGGAATCCAGGAAAGCCTGGATCCTCAGGTGATCCCGTAAGATTACTTAAAAGAATTTAATTTCTCACTCTTGCTAAAATGGTTACAACCTTTATAATGCATGACATTAATTGATCTCCTGAGCTGTTGTTTTCTGTTTACTTATGTGTTTCTGTCACCAGGGGGTCAAATCCAGGAGAGGTGAGAAGGGGGATCCAGGATTGAAGGGAGCCCGGGTAATCTTCCTGTCCATCTGTCCGGTCTGTGGTTGGTTTACTGATCAGATCAGTGAATCTGTTAATCAGCTTGTTTTGTTTGTTCAGGGTCCTCGTGGAGCTCCAGGTAAACTGGGATCAAAGGGCCACGCGGGGCCAACGGGACTTGAGGGACTTGGAGGACATGCAGGGCTACCAGGACTTCCTGGACCTGCTGTGAGTGTAAAAAATAAATATATATTTAAAGAAACATGCTCACTTATGATGCTAAAGCTTCTGTCATATCAGGTCTTATTTTATATCTTCATCCAATGTTGTAGGGCTTTGATGGCATCATGGGAGAGCCAGGGAAGCAGGGAAACGATGGCTCCAAGGTGTGTTTGAGCAAAGAGTTGAATCTGTTTATCTTGACTCTTTTTCTTTGCTGAAAAGTGAATTTTGTTGCGCAAATATGATGTGATGTAGGGAAACCGAGGACCAGCTGGTATTCAAGGAAGTCCTGGACCTCGAGGCAATAAGGTAAGGAGTCTGAATGATTCATATCTATAAAAATAAATCAGTGTTGTCAGCGTTAAAATGA